TTACACAGGAACCCAGGTTGATGAAGATTCATCTTGACATATTTCCATGGATGTTTAGACACCACAAGAAGAGGCAAGGTGGTGAATCGGCCACTGGCTCATAAAGCCTGCCCAGACAGGTCATGTTACTGGTATTTCACCAGTCAAAGCAACTCTCTGAACCCACCTGACCTTGAAGGGAACCCAGGATCCACGTCTCTGGATCATGGGGGAATGGGATATTTGTGAACAACTCAAAGAGCTGCCAGAGTTAGAACCTATTTCGTGACAAGTTGAATGAACTGTCCCTGCTAACTTCATTTCTCAACCAATAATTCTCTCTTGTATTTATGCAAAAAAATCATCTCCTGGGAGGTAGACCTCTGAGTTCATTCACATTTATATTATTTTCTTTCATGGACACTGGCCTGGTGATCGTCCATAGAGGAAGACTTCACAGGGCTCCTGTCCTCTGGGGGCACCATGCAGTTGAGTCCAAGGTGATCCAGGAAATAAATGAGCGCAGTTTGGTTGGAAAACCATTTGCTGGGTACTCTTCCATGGGGCAGGAAGATTCCCCAGGAAGCTGAACATTACCACACCAAGCAGACAGGGTTTCCCCACTTGCATCCAGGGGAGAGGTACCAGCAAGCTTTTTGAAGGGAGCACTGGGGCCGGTAGAAAAGACTAAAACAGAAGCATGAAGTCATTCATCACTGCAGGAGAGGAGCTGGGCAAGACCCCAGATTGGGTAACCCAACCCTCAAGTGGCCACTCAGTTGAGATGCAGTAGGTATTTAGTCATGAAAAGGCCAGGGAGGAGACAGCAGACCAGGACTTGGTTGTTGCAGTAGCCCAGATACCTTTCACTCAGGCTCAGCTTTGTCAGGGGTCTGTGATGATCTTCACCTTAGACTACTCCAGTCGCTCAATGTGTGATTAATTAGTATATCTAAAGATGTCATGAATGTCCCCACTGCAGTTTTTTCTCAACCAAATAAAAAACTCTCCATCCCCTTCAAACCTCCATTTAGACTCATCAAACTCAGGCCTCAGGAAAGCAGCCAGGACAGAGAAGCAGGAGCGCTGATTGCTGTTGCCTTGGTAAGGGCAATCCTCTCCGTTCAGGGCTCTGTGGTTTCTATGGGAACAGCACTGCTTGCCTCTGCTGGCCCCTGGGGCTGGCGAGAGGTACTAAAACAAAAAAAAACAACAAAACAACAACAACAAAAAAAACTGGAGGAGAGGAAGAGAGGAACAGACTTTGAGGATTTAGACTGTGTTTGGGGAGGAACCCTCAGGCAGATATGTAGCTGTCCCCAGAATGCCACGTGGGCTGTGTGGCCCCAGCCTGAATGTGGGAAGCACTTACCTAGAGGCACAGACATTCATGCTGTTCCCTTGGATTAACCACTGTCCTGGAGAAACAGAAGTCACCACGAGGCAGGCAAGAGCTGGTCATAGGATTTCAGCACCAATGCCAGAAAGGAATGAGTCGGCCCCTGGCCAGACCAGCATCTCATCACTGTTACAGACATAAAGAACAGGGATCTGAGCCCAGGAAGCATGGAGGGAAGTAGCCCTACTCTGTCTGCACGATTCACAGCAGCCCTTGCAAGATGCCATCCACTCCCCACTCTACAGATGAGAGGCAGGAAGTGGCAGAGGTGGTACCTGAACCCAATTCCCCTCTGTGAAAATCTCACCAGTAGCCCAAGGACAATGGGATTCCAGGGTAGGAGTGCATTCTTATTCACACCTTGACCATGCGCAGCCCTTGCTCTCTTGGATTTGGCTGTGAGGACGCACATCCAGAGGATAGCCAGGGTGGGGTCTGCACCGCCATCAGCTCTGAGCAGAGCCTCCTGGTCCAATGCACCACCCTGTCTCTGTTAAGGGGAAGGATGTCCTAATGGAACTCTGCAGTCTTGTGGACTCCACCCCCTACTTCAGCTTTCTCAACTCTGCCCCCTACTCCAGTGATTAGAAACTACAACTCCCAGTAGTACTAGGGAGAGCTGCGAGGACCCAAGGGCGGAGCTAAGCACGCATTCTGGGACTTTGGGGGATAAATACGGAGCCATTTCGTCCAAAGCTCTCTCGCTCGGGAAATGGCTCTTGCTCCAGAAATGGCTCTCCAGACCATGTGATTTGGGGCTTTCAGTTTAGCTTGTTACCAGAGCTCCAAATCAGGGGAGCCGGTAAGATATTCCAGTTACTTCGTATCCCTCTCTTTCCCTGGGTTGTTTCCTTTTCTTTTCCCCTTTTGTAAATAAACCTATTATTGACCCTTTTGTGTGTGCCTGCAGTACAACTGAATTTTAAGAGTGCGGGTGAGGCCCCACAGACAGGCGACTCAGTTCACACTGGGGTGCCCTGTAACATCTCCACCACCCTCTCCTTGGGCAGCTGCGGCTTCTCTGGAAACACCATTCCCCACTAGTTCTTGCAGCCCCAGAGTCTCTGTTGGCAGGTGGAGACTGTCTCGTTATCCTGGAAGCAAACTCAGCTGAGCTGACAGCTTTTTTCTTGACCTGTCAGGGCATCTGGGCAGCGCTGACCTGCTCCCTCCTAAGGCAGCTTCACCCTTCAGCATTCTTCACACTTGATATTGCTTAGGTTTCCACTGGATGTGATGGGGTGCTCTGGGTGGACTAGAGGGGTCAAGAGGAAGAGGACCTCAGGCCACTTTTCAGATGGCCAGTAGGCAAATTGAGCCCTGGAGAGATGAAGTGGCAGCCCCCAAAGGCCACTCTGTGGGAGTGCTGGGATTGAGCCCCACATTTCAAGATTCCCGCTTGAGGACCCTTTCTTAACCCCAGGCTGGCTGGCCCCTTGCTTGGGAAGATAAAACACAGTTATACCAAACTGCTGTAGAACCACAGCAGAGCAATGCAACATGAATATCGGCAGGCTGTGTATCTCGTGCATAAGTACAAGTTGACGAAATCAGGCATAAGCATTCAGTCTCCCCAGAATGAAGCTGCTGCCTCTGTGTACCTCCAGTAACAGGAATGTTCCTGAGTCATGTTCTCTGTGACCTGGTTCAGCTAGTAATGTCCTTAGCAAATGACTCAGAGAAGCTTCCAACATGTGAAATTGGTGCTTAATTAAGAACATGTTACAACGCAGCCAAGTCTGGTGAAGATCTTAATCATTTGGCCCTGCCATGCTGCACCCAGAATGCAAACCCCAGCAACAGTTTATCCTGAACATTACACCTGGGCACTGGGCCTCCTTCTGCTACCTCCAAGCCACGACCTTTTATATACGCCAATGTCAATTATGCGTGTACAAGTGATTATCTCACTTTTCTACTCATAAAAACATGCAGAACCTCCTCACATCCATAGATGTTCTTTCATAGTGGAAGCTTGGAAAAAGCATGTCATTAGCTACCATGTACAGCTGAGCCATGTTTTGTGCTTGAGCCATATACTAGGTCTCCAATACCCTGTGACTCTGACCAAAACCTGCCCTGCATCTTTATCCAGTGCCACCCTGGACATAGAAAGTGGAGCCTGTTCAAGGACTAGCCAAAGACCTGATCTCAGGCAAACCCACTGGCCAGTGAGCTGCCATCCTGAGCACGTCTTGCACAGTATCGAGTGCTCACGTGTTTACTCGTCAACACCACCATCTTTGATTCATCTCCCTCCCTGGTTTCATGGCCTCCCTCATTCACAGTATGTCCAGAAGTCCCTTCTCAAATGAACCACCTATCTCCAAGTCCTGTCTGAGGGTCTTTTTGGGGGAACCCCAAACAAAACAAGAAGCAAGCAGGTTTCATCTTACACACCCTCCCCATTCACTGGTGAAGGTTTTGCTGAGTGCCCCTGTAGAGGAGTTGGAGACCTCACAGAGCTCAGAGGGAAAGGCAGCTCCCTACTGGCACAGCTATCAAGCTGGGGCAGAGGAGGTATTCTTGGTACATAGCTGCCTGCAGCGCTTGGCCTAATGTGTCCTTCTGTCCTCGAGAGGAGAGCAGAGGGTTCCTCTTGGAGGGACCACAGGTGGCCTCATAAAGGCCCAGGCCATGAAGGCTGATTGGATTTTATGAAGCAGAGAGAGGGCGCACAGTTGGGGATGAGGACATATTACAGGCTGATGGTACAATCTGTGCAGATAAACAAAGATATAAAGAGAGAGAGAAAGTAAGGTGTGTTCAGGGGCTGGCATGCGTCCTGCCTGGTGAGAGTATGGAACACGCAGCCACACCACTGGCTTCCCATCCACTCGCACAAGCCCGGGGCCCAGCAGCTGCTCAGCTCATGATTGTCTGAACCATGAACAGATGAAAGTATAAAAAAGTGAGGGCAGACAGAGGGCCAGCTTGGGACCATTCATGTATAAACTTTCAACTCAAATCATGGAACATTTGGGGGCAGGGAGAGAAGGGCAAGCAGCCTGTGGTTGATACTCCAGTTCAGCAGCAAATGTGACCCAAGACCCCACCTCAGAACAGGTGCCCTGGGGAAGCAAAGGAAGAAAATGAGGGCAGTTTGGAGCAGAAGGCATGACTCAGTGCCATGGACCCCGTGGTAATCCAGGGAAGCACGCAGACCTCTGCTCAGATAAAGGGTTTGCAGAGCGTCCAGTAAAATATGTAAGGACTAAAGGAACCTTCTCAGGTTGAAATGAAATTGTCAAATGATTAAAAAATCATTTGTGTGATAGTAAATTTGTGTGCTTCCTCCTTGACACTTTAAGGAACAGTGGTGCTCTCAAAACCACCTTCATGACACGGTGATGAGTGGGAGCTGCAGGTGTAACGTAGCGTAGCACAGCATGCAAATGTCTACTGGAAATACAGACCCAGATGCTCCCAACACAGCTGTATTGCCTACCTTCTTACTCGAAAGAAGCACTAAATTCCAGTTAGAGAATGTGAACATAAAGATGTATTTTTTTTTTCATCCAAGCTCATGGACTCCATATTAAAAAAAAAAAAATGTTTCCAGACCTCCAGCACTGAAAATGTTGTCATTGGTACTGAGCTGGGTTTCTTTCTCCCTCTTTAGCCTTGAATGAATTTCCAAATGACATCTTCACCAACGAGGACAGAAGACAGGGCGCGGTGGTTCTCCATGTGCTCTGTGTAAGTACCTCTCTCGTGAATCTACCAGAAACATCTGGAGGGGAAGCCTAGCTGGTGAGTGGCTGGTAGGTGGGCTGAGAGGTGCCCCCAGTGGTGTCTTCCCTCCTTCCTGTTCACACACCTCTAAGTGGGTATCCTCTAAGCCCTGAAGGGGGTAGTGTCCAAAAGATGCCTGTGTACATTCTTGCCTTGATATTAGTGCTTAAAGTTCATGCTCTGAGGTCAGACTTGCTCATCCTGATTTAACCTTGCCCCCTCCCTGCTCAAATGCCACCTCTGGAGAACTGTTTCCTAACCAACCTTTCCAAAATGCCAGTATCAGCTTAGCTGGCTCTCCCCCCCCCTCACCCCCATACTCTTGATCGCTATCTGACACAATCGTTTACTTGCTTATTGTCCATCAGCTTCACTCCCCCAGAAGCCCCATGAGCATAGGGGCTTTGTTTTGTGTGTCACCTGTTCTGGCACCTGATGTGAACAAAGTATTTGTTAAATTATTAGATTCAATAGAATAGCAATTAACATAGTGTCTGGAACATAGTAGGTGGCTGATGAAAGTTTGTTCCCTTCCCTTCTGACTCTTTTTTTTTTTTTAAGATTTATTTATTTGTGCATACAGAACTGGGGTACAGGTCAGAGGCTCAGGGGCGGTGAGAGGCTTCACCAGAGACAGAGTGGGGAGCAGAACAGGCAGATCGATGAAGTAC